TGCCTGGTTTTAGGGAGACCCTGAAACAAATACTGAAATAACTGGTTAACTATTCCTGTACCGTACCAGTATTCCAAATTGGCTGCTAACCATATATTAGTCCGTGGTTTGCTACATGATCAAGCCGCATTACCTCATTTATCTGTAAAAATCTTGAAAATCCGACTCGTCCCATATATCCCACAATCCCAGCAATGCACAATTACGGCCATTAACTCACTTACTGTGTGACACGTGAGTTTCACTGCGAGTTGACAAATGCACTATACGTACTCGCTAGGTAGCGGTATGGAGTCGCCGACACCAAGATTTCAATTTGGGTGAAATTGGATAAGATTTTCAGTAATCAGTAGTTTATTTTTCACTATGCTAAAAAAGCACTCGTAGCATACAGATTACGATAAGTTATATATGAAGAATTGCCGTCCATGGTGAGGTGAGACGAGGAAAACCAATATTGGTTACGAAACAGCGGCATCCATAAGAGAAAGATATTTCTATCTCATCAACCAGAAATATTTTAGGACCTTTTTCAGTGAAAATTCTCCAGCTATTTTCTTAGATAATAGGAGAAACCATAGATAACAAGATAAATGTAAGCTATATTGGGGTAAGTGAGCACGTGCATCAGCACGTCTTAAATATTTATTAGTTTTAGCCCACTTTTCTGATTTTCCGCACATTCTTTTGTTTTGCCATGTATTGCTTCATTGTTTTGTTGTACCGGGAAATCGAAATACACACTTACTATGTATTTGATCTCTTCATAGAACGCGAATAGCATTCAGAGATTAGCGCCGAAGAAAGTATGTAAACGTAAAAAGGCTTGGATCTTATATCAAACATCATGATGAAAATTCACGCCATCTCTTGTTTTTAAGGTAATTCTGCATATGTCTGACCCTGATTCCAGGCAAATTTGTGCGTGTTATTTCAATCATTTAAAATTTTAAAGTATATATATATATATTTATAGTACTGGAAAAATTTACTCTTCATAATAAGTATAAGTTTATTTTGACTCCACAATCAGAAAAAAAATTGTTCAAAACGAAATAAAACTAATTAGTTTTGGTGATCACTATAAAAGAATCTGTCTGTCTGTATCTCCTTTGCTTTGACTGCTACTGACATCCCCATTTTCCTACGCTGATACTCGTGCATTCACTTCTTGCTATCTATGCTGTAAGAACACCGGCCACAAGCCTTAATTAAAAAAAAATAAAAAATACATTGACAACACCTCGCACCTATACGTTTATCATGGTCTTCTTATCTATAATGTTGTAAACCAGTGGTCGGGAAACTTTATGTACTTGCGGGCTAAATATACACATTTCCGGTAGAGTGCGAGCCGCATTACCGTAAGTTCTGCCTGCGAACAATCGCCACACTTAACTTCAAATTATTGCTCTCATCCACCTTCTATTGCTGCGTTAAAAGGTTGCCACAATGATACGTGTATGTGGTCCTTTTTAAGGTATCCTACTCTCGAAGTATGTGAACCAAGATGGCGGACCGAACTCGTAATAGAACTAAAATTATGCCCTAACCCTAACCCCGTACACATACTACGTCCGGGGTGTCCGGCATCTTGATTCACATACTTCGTGAGTACCCTTTTTTAATATATATTTTATACAACAATCCATTGTTTTTATTTACTTATCATCGATGTGAAGGATGATGACCCCGGGTCTATTGACACGTTCCGTGTGGAGACAATAATAAATTAGGGATCATTTTCTGTTTTATGCTTTAAAAGTTAAAGGGCCGCAAAAGATTAGTTCGCGGGCCGCAGTTTGCCGACCCCTGCTGTGAACCATTCATTACTCATCCTGACCCAACTTAAAAAGACGACGATATAAAGCTATTGGTGTCGTTATGTAATAACTAGAGATGTACATATGTATCGGTATCGTCGCCCAAATTTTCAGTATCGGCAGTGTATCGTTATCGGCTAAATGTAGACTAATGTTTCCAATATATTTAGCTTTCTAATCTGATCCAGATGATGTGCACTATGAATATTGCTAAAAGACTACTGTTTTAACCAGTCTGCCCTGTACACTTGGTTGAGGTAAAAAGTACATAGTATCGGTTATCGGAATATCAGTATCGACGTTTTTAGTTGGTATCGGATCGGTGACAAAGATGGTATCGGTACATCTCTAGTAATAACACAGTACCACTGGGGCCAACCTCTGAATTATATTAAACCTGACGTTCCCCAAACACATCTCTACATGAAATCACTTGGTTTGAATCAAAAAGTTTAATAAGAGTAATAATATCATATTAACAAAGAACGAATATTTGATTCATGTATGACATCATAATAACGAACATGACGTAATAAACAAACAAATCATTATGATGAAACAAAAAGATTTCATTGTTGCTGAAAATAACATGGTCAGGAAGTTAAAATTCTTCATTTAATCAAAAATAATAAAATCTTTCGAATTTGTCTCTAAAAATTGTTTTTATGTTAAAGAGTTCAGGGGTCAGGTCAAGCATGAACAAACTTACGATGTCATAAAATGGTTTTGAAACAGTTCAGATGATGACATCATTGATGATTACATAATAAACAAATTATGACGTCACTATATGACAAAATCATTCTGAATAAAATTTGCAGCTGACGAAATAAATGTTAAAAAAGAATAAAAAAGGCAAAAACATAAATACAAAAAAATAGGTTACAAGAAATGGTGAATTACAAAAAAAAACTTTGCTGTCGAAATTGCTTGAAAAAACGTCTGGTTAATATTGTTTTATTTAAAAATGCGCAAAAATATGCAGAGAAATAATATACAATATGATCAAAAAGATGATTTCCCCCAAATCAGAGTATATTTTTTACTCACAGGGAAAGTCCCATGTTTTTTTTTGAGAGGGAGGGGAATACCCCCCCCCCCCCCAACTATATTCAGTAATAGTATAAATTGGTATACTGTAAAAAACAATTGTCATTTAATATTTTTATAGTGACATCATTATCGAAATATTTGGCATTATATTATGAGTTCACAATTTCAAGATGAAAGGCACTGCATTCAAATGCATAATCTATAGAAATTTGAAAATTTCATTTTTTTTTTGCAAAAATATATATTTTCTGGTCTAGTTGCGATAAACAAAGTTATCATATAAAATTAGTATTCTGTTATCATTCTTGTTTTGGATTTCAATAGTTACGGAAAATTTAGTTCTTGAATTGTGAAAATACAAAATCTATTTATAAAAATAAGGCATGATTATATATGGGTTTCAAAACAGTATATTATTTCCAACAAAAATGCGGTCACTCACTCAGAAATAAAGAAAACTCATTTCTGATCAAAGTTACGGGCCACCACTGAGGGATATTAACCTTACTGAAACAATAAATTACGCTGATGGGCCCTAGGCTAGTATGGATTCAAGGTAATGCAATCATTCTATGGTGACCGTTAAATTACTCATTGTTGCTATGACAACTCGGAAATGGTTGTTTTGTAGTACAGTCTTTCTAAAGAAGGGATGTGCAAAATTTTTTAACGGTGGGCCATGTAACTAACTTCAGACATCTAACTGGGCCACACAAAAAAAATTAGTTTTTCCAATTATGCAACGAATTGCAGAAAAAATGCACCAGGCAAAACGGGGAAAGATTTAACGCAGCAACAAGAGCAAGAATCATTATGTATATTTAACCATGCGAGCAACTTTTTGAACATAAACTTTCAGGTTATGATTTTATGCTTGATGGGGAAAACCTTATTGTTGACAAGGGCCTACTAAATAGCTTGGCAAGCTGGGTTGTGCCCTGCGGGCCGTCACACACCTGGTCTATATACCATCAGGGTATATATGGGCCAGTTATCAGTTTTGAGTTTAAAGTCGATGCATACACACGCGTCTGTATTTTAATTTGCATTGAGGAATCAAATCACAATTTTATGTCAAATTTTACATTTTTGGTTGGCATTAATGATAAGGCAAGTTTGGGATATTAAAATGCAAATAATAATGTAGAATCTATGTTTAATATTACTGGTTCTTGAGACAATTCTTTTTTTGACGAACTAGGGACCGACATTTCATTAAAAAGATTCTAACCTTACAGAAAAAGGAGGTTTTTATCATGAAAACAGGGAAATTGCCAAAATTGAGAAATCAGCTATTTTGAATACATTATAAAATAATATATTTCAAATTCGAAATATCTAGTACAATTCAAACTGGGTCATTTTCATTGAAGAGCAATTCAATGTATAGGGTGTCCATAAAGTCCCTTTACAGTTTCAATTTTGTTATGAAGTCAGATCTCAATATATCTCAACCAAGTTTGTTGTTTTTTAATCAGTAATTGTTTAAGTATTTTTACTTCATTTGATACATCAGTGAGGGCCAAAACAATATATGTTATCAATAAATTCCTTCACAATTCAAACATTTAAGACATTATGGACACCCCATAAATATTCTATGGGTTTGGATGACTTCTTAAAGCTTACGGTGATAACATTAATGATGTTATTAGCCTTATACATATTCCACAAATTTGGAAAATAACTCGAAACTGCATAAGTGTTCGTATCAAATCATTGGATTGTACGTTTATTTTTATAAAATAGAATTCTGTGGGTATATTGTGAGACAAAAGCAATTTAAGGGGAAATATAGGAACTTTAATTGAGTTCATCTATGTCTCGTACATTTCGATGTGACGTGGCCTAAAAATCCCAATTTCTGGTGACATGTTACTAGAAGTAGTCCATCTGTGGGAGAATGTGGGGGGACCTTAAAAATAATGAGAACAGTCCATATATGGTAGACTATTTACACAACATTTTGGTACTCCCGTAGTGTGTGTACCAGGTTAGGGTTATAGCATAATTTTATTCTGATTTTCCTTATTTTAGTTCTAATATGAATTCGGGGACTGTCTGTGTTAGTTAAATGAATATACCACCTGTCTGTCCATGGGTTTCAGTCCCTCAACACAACAAATTATTTACCTCCATATTGGTACACATACTTCTGGAGCGCCCAACATTTTGATATATTTTTCAAACCGGCCTAAAAATCACAATTTCTATCTGAAAATATTAAAAAAAATTTGATATTCATCTGACAGCAAAGTGTATAAAAACAAAGAGAAAAAAGCAGTGTATAATAAAAAGTAATAAAAACAATAAAATTGCGAAAAAGGTATAGGTAGTCCCCGCCATATAATGGCTCAAAAATAAAATGAGTCGATCTCAAGTAAAAATCATTCTGAGTATGGAACATTAGAAAATTGCTGCTTGTGTTGCCATGGTCATCAGTTACCGTGGTTACGGCCGGGTTACTATTGTGACCGTTACTTTACTCATTGTAGCTATGACAACTCGGAAAGTGTCGTTTTTTTGTCATCAAAGTCCTGCCGTAGTCAACTGTGACCTCTCAGGCGTATCGGTTCCTTGACAACAGACAGTCTCTGCTTAGCAACGGTTGGCATGACGACCAACCAGAAAAGCTGCCTCCATTGCTACATAATAGGAATTTCGTCTTTAAATTAAGATTTTCCTTCAACGACTGCGCCCGGTGTCACCCTTGATTGGTTTCCGTGACTAGATCCGGGGTTTGGTACCCCCATTCCTCCTCCGAGGCTAGACGGCGACATTCCTTTGAAAATTGATAGAAGTGGGGAGCTGAGGGGGGAGGCAGGGGGGGCAAAAGCAGCTAACATACCCGAAGAGAGGTAAGGGGAGTAAGGAGGTATAAAAGGCGAAGCATGGGGACTGTGGTTATATGGTGGGGAGACGGGTAAAATTGGGGAAGTCCCAGACTGGTTCGGCAAGTACAACCCTGATTGGGGGTGCAATGGAGAGGGGTGGGGGTGCATGTGCGAGCTACTCGATCCACTAGAGGGCTTACTAAATGAACTTCTGTGATGAGACCGTGAACTCGGCGATCCATCGCTGGTGTTAGAGTTACCACTAGTATTATGGCTATGTAGATTTGAATTTCTGCGACCAGCGAGCCCGGATGGCCCCGGCATGTCGCTGCTATCGAGAGAGTTTGTTTTTCTAAAACTGCTTCTATTATCGTTGCCGCTAGGTGGCACTGACGATTGCCTATGAATAATGTTTTGTGGGGGGTTATTTCCGTGGTTTCCCCTGTTAAAGTTCGGACGACGTTGTTGATCTTTGTGATTGCTGTTATTGTTGTTTTCGTTGTCGTGGTGACTGTTGCCACGACCGCCGTTGCTATCGCCACCCTGGCTGTTGGGAGAACCTTCCGACTTGAAAGAATTTTCACTGCTCGATGTGCGAGCTGGATGCCTCCCGTTGAACTTATCCTGAAAACAAGAAACATGATTAAGTTATGTAAAACTGGATAGAATAGGATTTACATATTTATCACAGGGGAGAGGAAAGTCGATAAGACGGCTTAATCATATGGCAAACCACGGCCTCTCGTCCTGTTACCATCCCATGTCTGGTATGAAATTAGTTAGTCATTTAGGAAGCATGGACTTTATGGTGGAGAAAGCCGTAATCGACCAGCGTTTACGTGAACCACCCTACGGCGACAAGGAGTCCCGCAATCTTTTTTGTTAGACCAATGTCTCTTTTCCCCAAATAAGAAATTTTGATTCACTCATCTGTAATCGAGTACTAAAGAAAATTTTATTATCTCTCCGCCAGAATAAAGCATTCAGAAACTAAATCAAAAATAAACTTACAAAGCTGTTTCCGTTCAATATATTATTGTGAGCGCCATCCAGTCCACTTGGTGATGTCCTATATTCCTGCTTTATATCGGGATGATTTTCGCGGATAGCGTGGGGGTGCATCTGGGGGGAGGGGTGATCCCCGTGGAGTCTTGAGGAGGAACTTGTAGTTGCTGGATTGAATTCTCCGTTCCCATTGGTTGAAATATTGATTGATTGTGATGTTATCGAAAGCGGCGATGTGGAACGGATTGAATCATATGGGTGACCTTGGCCAGGGAAGCCCTGTGATAGAAACATGTGTGAAATATATATATAAACATGAAAATATCTCAAATTACATGTTTCAAGTTAGCTTGGCCTTGTGCTTCCAAATTACTAGGGGTTGTACTGTGTGTTGTATTAATATCATTTTATATTTTTCTGTGCACTATCTCCCAGACTCTTACTCTAGGCAGTTTTGGCTGGGTCTGATCTCCGACCACCCACGAAGTGTGAGATGAAATAGTTTTTGCTTTCTTCTCATCGAGACAAGCTGCCGTCGGCTGCTTTTGAGTTGTGTTTGCTGTCATTATTGCTGTTATAAGTGTTTGAGTGTAGAGCTGCCGTACAATACACAACCAATCCGTAATGACAGCAAACACAACTCAAAAGCCATCGACATCCAGCCTTCTCTGATGAAAAGAGGGCGAAAACTATTTCATCCCACACCCCAAGTCGAGGTCTAAACCGGCTGAAACTGCCTAAATAAAGGGCCTGCGAAATACCGCACCGAAAAATCCTAGGTCTTCTGACTTATTTACAAACAGTAGCAAAACCTAAGATGTGACAATTGCGATGCCATACGAGATCAGAGATGAGTTTACTTCTGAGTGAGTGCACGAGACTCGACTTACTGATAGTCATGCTTGTATACACCTGGTATGGCTGGAGGGTGTTGAAAGGGGGGATGGGGAAGGCTTTCGGGACCCGATTTAACAATAATTATGAGTTCACAAACCTGGTACTGCTGGGGTGAGCCCATTGGACTCAAGTCATCATCATCACTGTCATCGTCATGCTGGTATCGAACACATTTCTTTTTCCGTCTGAAATAGGAAGGAATTGTTAGAAGTATAATCAACTCGGTTTCAGTCACCATCAAGTCTCGACCTGGTAACTGGAAAAGAGGCCTTGTTCTCCATATGATAAAGTTCTCTCATCGGTTTTTCTTTCCCTCGTAGTAACAGAATGAGCGTCTGCATACATGGGGGGTAGGTACCTCACTTTTAGCAAATTTGTTTAAAACTATAAAAGCGGATTCTATGGATGTTCCCTTGACCCTAGAAGAAAAATTCTCGCGATATTTTACTATTGCAAAATTTTAGATGCTTATTTTGAGATTGTTTGGAAAGTTGACACTCACTAACATTATGCTGATTGGTCATTGTTACGGAAATAAACGAGGAAATCGATGATCAAGGAAACATCCATTTACTTTGTTATTAAAAGGCGAACAACCCCCTTATCATTGTTAGAAGGAAAGAAGGATATAATATTAAATTTGTTAACGTTAACTAACTAATTAGGACATTCCTACCAAAGTTAAATACAATTTATAACAACTATATCAAGCGATTTTCAGGAAAACCATCAAAATAACTCTATAAATACCACTGGCATGATGAACAAGGGCCATGAGTGCCAAAAGCCTCCGAAAGTGGGCCAGAGCTATAAAAGGTTGAAATGAAAGCCACTGTCCTAATTTAAGCTAAGATATACAGGAAAAAATCAGTAATGAGGCAATGAGGTAATAGCTTTGAATCCTTTTTAACTACATACTTTTGACATTCCTATTTAGGTGAAATACAAATTGTAAAATCTATTTCAGGCGATTTTCAAAAAACCATGGAGCGTGCAAGCTCAAAGAATGTACAAAACAAAGTATAGTCACACATGAACGAGCACAGTCGCACTTGGATAAACATGGACCAATTTGTATTGCTTACAGTATAAACATACAGACATTTGTTAATGGGCTACCCCGATAAGTTGAGGACCTTTTTGGTCGCTGATTTTGACGGATAACTAAATAAACGGATTTAAAATGACAACTAGAATGAGGTGATTGATTCATAGAAACCTAAAAAATGTTATTTTTACAATTTAGTGTAACAAAAATGTTGCTTTTCCTTTTTGTAAGATTTTAAGTAATTTGTAAAAATAATCCTATTACCAAATTCAACTTTAAATCTAATCCTAACATGAGACTTGAATTTTTGATTTCAAACAATGTCAGTGCCCAGTTTGACAGCATGGAAACTTAAATATAAAAACTATTCGGACTCCCGTAGTGTGTGTACCGGGCTAGGGTTAATGCATATTTTTCGATTTTCCTTATTTTAAATCTATTACGAGTTCGGGGACTGTCTGCGTTGGTCAAGTAAATATACCCTCCTGACCATAGGATTCAGTCCCTTTATACAACTTTATATAAAATAGGTGAACAAAATCAGAATCTCCATATTGGTACACATACTTCTCGAGCGCCTAAAAAACTAACCCATGTTTCTTAGTAACTCGAGATTCATCATTATAAATGTTCAATAATAATAAATATTTTGTAATATGAAATAAAACCAAACACGTGATCATTACCTGCATGGAGCACACCATAACTGCTGTTGTTCCAGGCCGAACACTGCTCGACATTTTTTGGGATTTTGAGCTGTGAGTTATGACGTGGAGGTGAAGGTGAACATGCAAAAAATGAAAAAAAAAACATTCATGAATAAATATACATAGGGCAGGGGTTGTGTAACCTTTAATACAGGAGGGCCAGATACAAATAACTGGGTGAAACCGTGGGCTGTACCTTTATTAAACATGGGCTGTCTATTAATTGCAGGCAGAAAAATTTTGGTTATCGGTTTTTGGTTATTTTATTCATATTCCAATGGAATCGCGGGTCGCATCTTAACATAGGCTATCTAGTAGTTGCAGGCTTTGGTTGGTTATTGATCTTGTGACATGCGTTGATTGTATGCACAGGCTAGCTGTTAAGGCATTGTAAAGTCATATGCATGGACAATAAATTGGACTTACGTATAGGTTTCGCAACGCAAAGGGATTGGAATTACTTGCACATACCAGATCAGACTAAAGTAAAACTTAAGATCAAACTTTCGCGGGCCGCACAATTTTACCTTGTGAGCGCATTTGGCCATCCCCCTAAAGTTGAGCTGCATTTAAAGGATTAATTTGCTTAAATAATACAGGATAACTGGAAAAAGCAAGTCTCGAACAACATTTTGAATTCAGGATAAGATTCGTACATTTGCCCAGAAGGAAAAGAAAGTCAATAAGACGACTTATTCGTATGGCGAACGGAAAACCCTGGAGAATTGGAAAAGTGGAAAAAATGAAGGTGAAGAGTGAAAAGATGAAAGTGACAACAGGCAAGACAAGCAGAAAAGAACATTGTGAGAGCACAAACCTCATTGTGATATCACATGATTCATCATTTTCTGAAGAAGGTGATTCAGCATTTTTGTCACAGAAAGAAATAGAAGAGGATTGTGTGAAATCAGAATTGCATTCTGGGTAATTTGTTGTTTTATCATTGTTGTTGTTAGCATTGGCATTATGGCTTCCGAAACTTGCAGAAAAATGAGAGAAGTGTCCGAGACCATAGTACATGCCAGAACTCGAACCAGCGTTTGGAAGATTGGTATAAAAACGCTCTGAAGCAAGACTTGCATAAGTACGATCTCTAGAAGATTCTAAGATAGAGAGAAAGTTAGATGAGACGAAAGGAATAGGAGTGAAAGAGCGAACAGTTTCGAGATATATAATAGTAGATACAAAAAGAAGAAAAAGGGGGCAGACCCCCCATTTTCGAAAGGTAAAAAAAGATTTTTCTGCATTATACAAAGCAATTTATTGTAATATCAACCACTCCCGCCTTAAAATAAGACCTCGTCGATGTTAACGTGTTATTTATAAGTAAATGGATATCGATTTTCATATTTTGCATATTTGAAAATCTCGTAATCCTCTCCTTTGTAATTTTGTTTTTGATTAATGAAAATATAAAAATAAAAGACATTCCCTACGCATAACCCCTAGTTTTATTTTTTGAAAGAAAATTGAAACAAGACCCATCTCTCATTTTCGGGGGAACATGGTATCAGCCAATTTTTTCTAAAAAGTTTTTACAATATAAATTAAATTTTGTTTTCCACATTCCCAGAATGATGTTAAGCAGACATTATTACCTATAACACTTTACAATCAAAACTATAAAATTTGCTGTACTAGCGGCCGAATGGGGGATGACAACATAAAAGTATTTATTGTTAGATAATAATTGAATAGCAATACTATTGTGATTCAATAAAAGAGATTTTCAGTTGAATGACCTTTTGAATATTTGCATTGACAACATTGTAAAAAGATTTATTTGGACTATTTTACAACTTTTCATTTAATTCGTAACTTAAATAAGCTGTTATAACTGTATTTTATTGTAGAATGCGAGATTTTTTGTACTATTATTCCCCAAATAAGCCATTGTGAAAGCAGCCACTATGAATATAATGAAGGGCTAAATATAAGGGGGTGGTTAGATACTATTACTGGTATTTTTGTGTTTGCGTTTTGGTTCCATCATGGTAAAGTATATAAGGAAGTATATGCAGGCTTATTTAGTTCTTCAGAATTCAATTTGATATTTTGAAGTTCTCATTTTATAACTATGTTATTGAACTGTGGTTCTCAAACGTTTTGAGCCGCGCCTTATCCAAAACAAGGTCAAGATCAATTTTAACAAATATTTTTTTTCCAACCTCCTCCCACTTAAAAAATTGATACGCCCCACTTGCGGACCGCACCTCACTGTTTGAGAACTACTGTTGTGCTCATCAGCCACATGGTATTGTCTGCAATGGTAAAATGAACATTATGACATCGTAATATTATTCACCTGTACATTCTCCTTGCGATTTCTCCTTCTTCCGCTTTTTTCTTTTGCCCTGTAACGAAATTTTTTTTCATTAGTTTCAATTATTTGTAAATAAGTTGTACCTTAAAACAAAAGGCAGTTGATCTAATATTATTCAGTTTATCACAATGATGAGCGCACACTTTCATACCAGAGATAGATATGGGTGAGGAGCTTTCCCTTCACATCTTCATATAATTATATGACATTATTAATTTTTTTAAATTCATACACCAAATAAAAACCCTAAAAAGGCACTGAATAAAATTAGAAACTAAACACGGCATCGGGGGTTGCCTCGGTTAGAATCATAAAATAGAAATTCTCAACTTTGAAATTTTTCAACATGTTTTCCACTACAACACTGTGGATAAACAGCCATTGATATATAGAAAGCTACTGTATTTGGATGATTTTGAGTTGTTTGCTCTGGCATTGCCTACACAACTCATCACATCCAGGTGGGGCATTGGGCATGATGTTAGAATCCGAGGTACTTCACCAGCGACCAATGTTCCCTCTAAACTGCGCCAGCGCGCAACTGGCCGAGAATCCCCGCGCAGTACTTTCATTCTGCCGCGCACTGCATAAGTATTAAAGTGTTGTGTTCTTTTCTATTTTTTCTAATTTTCCGCGCAGACCTTTTTTTCTTGAAGCTCACATGGCCTGCTATTTCCCGCAACTGAGCAAGCTCTGAGAGGGAACGTTATCAGCCTAACCTAACCTTGGGGTGAGACCCACAAGGACGTAGCCAGAATTTTGAGGGGGCGTTAATCTAATTAAAAATAAAAAAACCTATTAGATATAATCTTGCCCTTCGTATTTTGGATGTTTACATTTCTTTATTGTTCAGTGATTGCAGAGAGCTGTTGTGCTTGTTGTTATTTTTATTATCTGTTAATTAATAACTTTCGCGTTACTATCTGTTATTTGTAGCTTATTGTTAGCTAGTTATTTTTGAGGTGGAGCGTGAGACTTGACAAATTCTAAAAAGTTTGAGAACCACTGGAGGTAACCAATAGGCGAACAAACATCTATTCCCGACTTTCCCGACCCAAAGAGATTAAATACTTCTGTATGTGCTTTGTATTGTTGAAAAGTGACAACAAGCCCATGATATATAGAGGATTATGAAATACCTTAAGCCACACAAAAGAGCTGATGACAGCGATACAATATGTCGCGTGCAAAGGTTGCTGAAGTCAGGTTTTATAAGTTTGAAAAGGATGTTTTAGTCAGAAAGTTTTGATTAATGGGAATGGATTTTTCATATTTATCCCGTTGTGAGGAGAGCCCACAAGATGGCTTGACCATATAGCGAACCACGGCCTCTTGTCCGGTTACCAGTCCATGTCGGGTGTGGGATTAGTTAACCAGTAAATTGTTTTCGGAAGCATGGCCTTGAAGTATTGACTGTGGAGGAAATCGTAACCAACCAGAGGTGAACCACCCTACGATGGCGAGGAGTCCAGCAATTCACTTAACTATCCACGCATGGGATTCAAACCGGCGAAACCACATAGAGCGTATTTCTAATTTGTACCATGATGTGCCACACTGTGGAGCCAATTAAATTACCATAACGTATTCATGACTCTATGAACTTACATAGTTATCTCTCGCACTCCATCCAGGATACATTTGAAGATGCAGCTGCCTTTCCTTCCGAGCCATTTCATAATATTTCTGCTGTTCTTCGCGTGATAAACTGTGCCACTAAAATGAGAAAAAATGTCCATAATTTCATATTATTGTGGAAATAATGAAGCCGGTATCACAACTTAATCATGAACATTGGCAGTCTACAATAGTTACTTTTCAAAATAGTCATTTTGAGCAATTGAAAGTAAATGCTGTCATTTATTTACTAAAAACTGCAAAAAATGAGAAAACCAAACAAATCATTGGTTACCTAAATTGAATAATTACACTGGATTCTATGTGCTTTATGTTAAAAATGATCGACTTGGTAAATTTAATACCCAAGATATACTGATCAGAATATTATATTATTTAGTTCCTAGCCATCCCTGCCAGGAACATCTTCAGGAATGTTTACCGTGGGGAGGGAAAAATTGGAAGACCCCACTGGTTTATTATTAAAACTTACTTTTCGTCCAAGAATCTGATTAATTGCTGCACTTTCTTTCAATGTACATTCAGCTACTACTTTGGCTCTTTGTTCTTTCATATAAAGCATGAATGCGTTCAACGGCTTCTTTACATACGGACGATCACGTTTTGCTCGACCTACGCCGTGCTCGGATTCTGATTTTGAATGGCGCCCACTGTGAAAGATAAAATCAATCATTTTAACAATTCATATCAAAATATTTCAATGCATTCAAAATTGTATAAATTCAAAGAATATTTTTAATCGAAAATTTAAAATTCTATAGTCAGACAAAAAAATTGACTAAATATAATTTCTATCAATTTACAAAAATACTATTTGGAACATCTCCTAGTTTAGAATATATTCTGTATTCCATATTCAAACACAGATTTCAGAGAGAATTTGTAATAGTAAATTTGCCGATTATGGCCATCCCTGAGAGTAAACACTTCAATTTTTTTTTGAATTCACTCTCTATTAGAAAAAATGACAACTTACCCCATTTTATCAGCGTCATGTTTTCCGTGATGGGGGTGTTGGCCGCCTCCCAAATTTCCGAGGGGTCCATTCGAGACCATAGCGGGGTGAGGAATCATAGTATGGTGCATTCCAGGTGGCGCTCGAGGAAAGTGTGACATATTGGACGCGGCCACTGCTGCAGCGCTTGTGAATGCGGCAAATGGATTGGTGTAATGTAGCATGGGGGCAATTGTCGATGCCGTACACATTGGGTATATCGGTGCTGTAGGCCTGAAATATAAAATTTAAGTGTTAATATTGGGAAATTTGTTTTAAAGAGATACTCTGTATGCCACCATGATACAATCTATATGTAAATGTAACACAAATTTCCTTTCCTCAGGCGACAAGTAAAAAGGAGAGTCATTTATGACCTCATATACCACTGTTTGACTCAAACCTGAGAGATTATAACTGATTTTTTTATATAGCAATGTTAGATAAAGAATGAATGCGCCTGATATTTGACTTAAAATGTATTTTGCCGTTCTGGATGATGTAGCAAAATATCTGTATTAAAATAATTACCATTGTTTTGTTATGGCAAAAGAGTTTCAGCACGCGAACACCAATCTTGAACGAAATATGTTCGGCTTTTGAGGTGTCACTGTAGTTAGGTATCTGTGGTTGATTGCGAATAGCCTTATTCAAAGCGAAGGCGTATTTATACGTAATACAAAAAAAACTATTTCTAAGTTTTGGGTAATTTCAAACAATTTCATGGAAATTACCTAGTATTTGAAGATAGTTTGTTTATAAACATGAACAAAATCATTAAATCGCTTTGAAATAGGATCTACATGTATAAATATACACAAACCAAATTTGTATTCGATAAATATAATTCTTACATGGACCAGATATAAATAACCCACTTCATCATTGGATTAGGCTTGGAAGAACATAATTATGCAATTTGCTATGTGTATTCTATTCCCTTTGAGTTGCAGGATTCTAATAGTTCGTAGGTCAACTCAAGTTTGCCTTAATTATCTTCTAAATAATTTATTTTCAGTTTTTTTTGTAACTTTCAAGCATGTTGTATCCATAATTCGATTCTTATAGAAGGTTAATTTTTTACACTTAAGTTCACTCTGAAAAGGACTCTGAATAGGTGACACTGATGCACAAGGATCTGTCATTCAAAATACCTAGTTTAAAATAATTTGCTCAAAGATTAGTCATGTGCACTACACTCATCACTCGCCTAAAAATAAAGGAGACCCATCTCTGAGCAAAGCTCCAAGCACTGCTGAAATGCCACAGTGGCAGCAGTGGATTCCAAACTTTTAGGGCTCTTGGCCCCTGTTCTGAGAATTTTAGCGCTTGTATTTCAGAGGTATTTATAGTGTTATTTTCATTGGGAGATTCTAAATCCCATTATGTTCAAACAATTTATGGTCAACAAAGTGAACCCCGGCCCAACCCCCCTATTGTGAAATAACCTTATCAAGAAATGAAACTGGGAAGAATCGGGAAAAGAAAAATCAGATTTTTGAGTTACATTTCTGCCCCTGTCTGACTGCTTTGTGGCCCCTTTGGGGGTCCCTGTGCCCCGTTTGGGAACAGAAGTTGAATAGAATTAGGATGGTGTATTACGTGCACTCAAGAGATACAGAAAAGGAGACTCATACTTGAGCAAACCACGGAATTAGCAAGAGCTATTAAATCTATATAGAATCTCTAACCCAGGGGTTCCCAAGCTTTTTTCAGGACGACTCCAAGAACAACTTTCAAGTGTCCAGTGCGACCCCAGGTCAATATATATATTTTTCATGAACTTTAGAGCTACTTTCACTGGACTTTTGAGTTTGGTCATGTGGTGGTATTAAGTAAAATAAGCTAAAACCAAGCAGTGATGTCACATTAAGCCCCTACACTTCCTATAGCATAAGCATAGAGCGATGCCTATGGGCCTGTTTTACAGTAAGCCATGGTACAAACTGCTAAATTTAACATGGTTTGTCAAATCTTAGATGATTTGTACATCAATCCTCTACCATACCTCAGCGACCCCATGACCTATTTGCGTCCCCACCTACTTATCACTCCGACCCAATTTGGGGTCGCGACCCCTGGTTTGGGAACCACTGCTCTAACCAAAGATATTTATATACTTACCAAGGTGCCAGTGGGTGAGGAATGTGCCCCAGTTGTCCCGGTAGTGGGTACATAGCAGGAATTTCTGGGTGATGCCCCCTTGACATACCTCCCTTTGCATCGTCCCCTGCAGCCCCATAAAGCAGATGGTATGGGTTATATGGATATGGAACTTTGCTCTGAAAAAGAAAAAGTGTAGAACATAGAATAGATTTTGTAGAATATTTTAGTATAGGCAGAATTCGAATATTTATCCCACACAGAAAAAAGGCGAGGGAAGTTTGCTCTAGTATATACCGTTGTTCTAAGAGAGAAGAAAAGGTGAAAAAGTGTGTTGTAAAAAGAAAAAGGTACTCCTGAAGTATGTGAACCAAGATGGCGGACACCGAAACGTAGTATGTGTACCAGGTTAGGGTTAGGCCATAATTTTATTCCAATTTTCCTTATTTTAGTTCTCTTACGAGTTTGGGGACTAGCCAAGTGACTGCCAAAGTATAATTGCGGTCTAATCCTAACCTACTACACATACTATGTTCCGGTGTCCGCCATCTTGGTTCACATACTTCGGGAGTACCGGTACCAAGAAAAAAAATGATAAACTATTGATGGCAAGGACACCTACACAAGGCGTCGAGTGTAGTCTTACTCAGAAACCGTAAATATAAACGTTTTACATTAATCATATACTGTATACAATTATTAGAATTTCAACAAGGTTTACAAGGTAATTAAATCTACTACTTATTTTTTACATAATCCCATGAATCATGAATCATGAATCCCAAAATGGGGTCGGATTTTGCACATGTAAACTCACTAGCGCCATCTATTAGAGACCCGTACTTGATTCAACTTTTATAACAGTGTTTTTAATTTTTGAATAGCATCGAAATTCCATAAAATTTTCATGTTTTTTGTAACAGTATTGCTAGAACGATGAAAAATCGTAGAAAATGAGTTATCAAATAACTAGACTGCCCTAGGCTACCACTTCAAAGATTATCCCGCTTCAATGATCAAAGAAAAATCGCCGCAAATGTATGACAAATTCATGGTCTAAAAATTAAGATAAGTGTCGCTAAAGAACGGGCGAAAAATAACGGCTTCGAGTAAGTTGGCTATTCCTAAAATGGCGACCTTTGACTCTAATGCGGAAGCAATATTTGCGCTGTGCTGGCGAATCATATTCGGTGAAAATGTGGGATATAGCCCATAGCATTGGCTTACTTAATATTGAACGCTTGCCTTATTAAACTTCGCGTTAAACGAGGAATTAAGCAAGAAGACAATGCTAGTAGAGTATTTGTTTCTGGAAAGACTGGAACCGTCGATCGCGGAAGAGGTTTTTCCCTGTTTTTGCACGTTTTCGCATGGTTTTTGACGGTTTTTCTAGTTCCCTTATCAAACTTTCGATATAAACAAGCCAATGGACCTTTCCCCGAGCATCGACTTCCTTGTTTACTTCGTGACATTGGCCAATCAGCAAGATGCAAAAAGTGACGTAACAATGCCCCCTTTTTGCATCCGCTTGAAATCTTGGCCTACTCAATTCAATACCCATCGATCAGAGCGGTGACGGGGACAAATTTTTCCTGTGGCGTAAACATAAACTGTTTTAATTTAGGGTGTCCATAAAATCTTAAAATTTTTAAAAATTGCAAAGGGAATTTATTGATATTATTGTTTTGGCTCTCACATATGTATTAAATGAAGTAAAAATACTCACAATTACTGATTAAAAATCAACAAACCTCGTTAAGTTAAGATATATATTGAGAACTGACTTCATAACAAAATTGAACTTGTAAAGAGGATTTAAGTAAAAAAAATCTAGAATTATAGATTTTGAACCTAATTAATTTCGCATTGGTTCGAAACTGTTTTAGGCATCCATTTTGAACTCACAGCCACGGATCAGCAGAATGACAGCGTTAAAATTTGATTGACGTGAACAAAACGGTGATTACAGATAACGCGATTAACAATCTGAAACGATGAAAAGGCAGGATACTACTTTCTACAATAAAGATGTGGCCTTTGGAAGCAAAATCACTTTTCCGCGCGAAAATATTCAATGTTTCCTATTCCCAATTGTAAATGGTATGATCCACCTTTCTTCAATAAGGTGTGACATTTGGAAGATAATTCACTTTTCTGAAGGATCGGGTTTAATATGGATCAAGTCTACGCGAAAATATACAATGTTACAGTGTTTTCGATTTCTAATTGTGGAAATTGGTTAGAAATACAATGTTTCACTATTTATTATGAATAGGGTCTTGATAAATTTATTTTTGAAACAACAGGAAGAATATAGAGTATATTCTAAATTCATCCTTACTTGATCACCAAAAATGGAAACTATCAGTATGCTATATTTGGGTTATTGCTATATCCCCCCCCCCCCCCCCCCCCTTTGGAAAAACGAAAATCATTAATGTATATTGCTATTCTATACGATAAATTAGAAACACGTCAAAACGTAATTTACATACCAAAGCTACAGTCATTAATATAGAATCAAATACTCGAGCGAACTTTTGGCATCTTTCCCGCGAATACTAGCCTTATATTATGACGTCATAAACAATGCTTTGATCTCGCCGACACAGACGGGATAAACGGTAACTTGATATGAACAAATTGTCGTCAGCTATTTTAAACAATGGATATATTATTATGATACAATAATAAGTATATTATGATATCATAGTTGTGGAATTGTTAGGACATAATTGAATGAGACAAGTAAAGGTTGATTGAAGACATCTACAAAACGACTCGATTTGAAAATAAATTGACCGTAGATCGGTCTGGAAGACAAAAATAGTGTATAGTGCAATAAAGAACGAATATTTACGCCGCCTATATCTACCCATATAAGACTCTACTGCAGTGGTTCTCAAAACCGTGGCCCGCGGGCCATTTACGGTTCTGAAACGATTTAATATGACCCGCCGAACTCAAGTGAAATAGTTTTTAACACTCTATGTTTTTACCTTTATGCCTTCTGGATACCACCAATTGTTTGTCGTCCTATTAAGCGTAAACCAACTGCACACATATAGAAAGATATACGATTTTACGCTTATTAGGTGTACATTATCGCATATCACATTGTAAAACGGAAATCGCGTTATGATATTTAGAAACGATTAAACCATGGAATATCCTATTATACGTGACAAGTGGTCGCCGGAATGTGTGACCTTCATTCGACCTTGGGTTATTGAATTACAAGAATACGGGAATTAACATGTGAATTTTTTGCTCGGGTTTCTAAATAAGAATCTTATTTTGAATCTTCAGTCCTTTGAGAAACATTGCAGAATTAAATTTGTCAAAGCGCTATGCAAGAATATGTGAATTTTTTACATGTTACTGACATAGCGCCGTCGTTTTAGGCATTAAGCACCCTGTACGCTTTGTTTTTTTTTTATAATATAAATGCGTATTCTCGACAACAGGAGTGTTACAAGACAAAACGGCGAAAGCCCAAATTAAAAAAAAATTTAAAGGAAAAAAAGAAATTTTATAATTAGGAACAGGAGTTTCTCTCTTGCTTTTGAACAGACAAATAACGAAAAAGTGCAATGCAAGCCTTCTGGATCATCTGATACGGGGGTGTGCAACATGTGGCCCGCGGGCCAGATGCAGACTACAAGGAAAAATTGTGCGGTCGGCGGAGAAATGCCAATTTGATTGATATCCTATTATACATAGCAAGTTGCTCGCCGAATTAGGCGACCTTCAATTGAGTTCTCGTATTACGAGGAATACGGGATTTAACATTTTAATTTTTTGCTTGGTGTCGTTTAGGAATTGTATTTTAGGCCTTCAGTCTTTGTAAGAAACATTGTAGAATTAAATTTGTCGGAGCGCTGTGCAAGAATTTCGGAGACAGGAGATTCGTATGTGAATTTCGACATGTAATTGACATAGCGCCGTCTTTTTAGACTTTGAGCATCTTGTACGTTTTGGTATTATAATATAAATGCGTATTCTTGACAACTCGAGTGTTACAAGGCAAAAGGGCGAATGTGGAAATTAAAAAAAAAAATTAAATGAAAGAAGGGGATTTTATTATTAGGAATAGAGTTTCTCTCCTACTTTTGGCCAGGCAAACGTTACAGAGTAAAACATGCGAAAGTGCGATGCACTACTAATATATGGCCGGGTTGGCGTTATGTACGAAACTAATTATAGAATTGTAGTTGATTCAACAAATCACAGAGAAATGGTAAAAATATGGCGCTCCAGAAGTATGTGTACTGATGTGAAGGTAACTAATTTTGTTCGCCCAGTTTACATGGAGTTGTGTAAAGAGACTGAAACCTGTGGACAGGGGTATATTCCCTTGGCTAACACAGTCAGTCCCCGAGCTTGTAATAGAACTAAAATAAGGAAAATCGGAATAAAATCATGATCTAACCCTAACCTGGTACACACACTAGGAGAGTACCAGAAACATTACGCCATTTTGTTTTCCCACTTGTAAGCAATATTTTGAAAAGTCAACAACCAATCATTCACATTCAACTATTTCCGGCGACAAGTCATGAGGAAACGATCAAAAACTTCCATCTTTTTCGAGTCCAAAGGTGGGAAACTGACATATGGAAAGGGCACTCACTAATTATAAAGGACTAATTCCATGTCACACTGGAGAGTGCAATAAAACTATGATAAAACCTTCCAAGGCTTTTTAGTTGCTTATTAGTAAAATGAAATTCACCATCGTGACTATCAACAAGTTCTGTGTCATAACAAAGTTCCAAATTATAGAAAAATATTCAGAAATATTTTAAAGTACTGTATATGTTTCGAAATTGACACTACTGAATAAAAGTTAAAATTAGCCTCTTTGCGGATAGCCAAAGGGTTAAGATTTGTAGAATTGTATTCATAATTATGAAGTCAATAAATCATGACGTCATAAAATGTACAACGTCATAACAAAAGTCCAAAATTATAGAAAAATAATCATGAAAATTTGAAATATATGTTAAGTTCACACGCCAGATGTTAAAATTAGCATCGAAAACGCGTTAATTCATTGAATCACGCGATTTACGAAAAACTTTCGAAATTATGATTTTCCCACCCAAATATTTGGCGATAATTTGAGCTAAAATGCACCAATTAAAAGATAATTTGAATTGAAAATGCCTCATCAAAG